TGAACTTAACCTTTATTCCGGCGAGAGGTAAACTGATTAGATTTTGGGAAGAGTCAGAATATCTGGGGGAGGTACTTTATAGGGGGTCGATTTTATATTTTATGGAATATATCTGCATAGGCGATGGATTTCAAAAATTTCTTTGGGTGCCCGGCTTCTATGCGGGAAATGGGGGCTTCACCCTCCCCTCCTTACCCCACTTAGGGTCGCCACCAGTTTTTTAAAAGCACTTTAAAAGCGTTGATTTTATAATAATTTTCTTGGAAAAAATAAATTGTCAAATGTTGAATTGCTGAGTTTTAGGCATGGTAGGCACTTCCTAGCTCGTAAGCCAGTCTACAAATTTATTGTAGTTGAGAATGTCGCCAAGAGGTGCTTTTCTTATATCGGCCGGTGTTAGCCCATAATCGCCGAACACAAAAATAAATGAGAGCGTCGAGCAATCATAGAGGATATGCACGATGGTCGTATCTTCTTGTTCGCACTCTTTATAGTTTTTGTTTTATACATGAATTTTCTAAAATGGACCGTAATGGAAAAATTGGAGGAAAAGTGTAAAATTTTAATTTTTCAGTATTTTGGTTGGCAGTAAATATAAATAAATGTTCGAGTTAGAAGTATGTGGAAAATGCATATATTTAGTTTATTCTCTAAAAATGTACAGAGGTGCCACAATATTTTGTATAAAATAACCGGAATAAGCCTGTAATAACTAGATAGGAAAGTCATGTGTTGGACACATCAGATTTTTAGAAAAATAAATCCGAATTATATTATTTTCAATTTTTCTTATAAATAAGATGGCTGTGATCGACAAGAATAGCTAGGTATATTCTTGATAACAATTGAACAATTGCTGTCATGTTAGTGTGCCTATGTGTCTAATCGATATAATTCCTAGTTTATTTAGTTTTCTGTTTAAATTAATTAAAATGAATATATTTAAATTTGATGTATAATTTGATTATGAACTACTATTTTACAGTAGCAATAATGTAAAAATAACACTGCACAATAGCATTTCTGATGATTGTCATATACTACATTACAGCTTAATTTTTAATGAAGACTTCAAATATGTAATTTCTGTATTAGCTCTAGTTTAAAAAATATGACACATGGCCGTTTCATAGTCAAACACAATTTGTTTAAAGTTAATCATAATTTATTCAGTTCTTAAGGTAAAAAAAACTTTCTTTTATAAGACTTCCTTGTAGAGGTTGAACCCATAGAACTGTTCTGAATGCTCCAACAATAGTCAGCCATCATGTGTGCGTTACAGTATCCTTGATCCCGTTCCTCCATCGTACGAAGGTCCTGGTGGAATTGCTCACCCTGTTCTTTACTTAGATCCCCAAGATTAGCGGAAAAATAATCTAGGTGGTTGTGAAGAAAGTGCAACTTGATGCTCATGTTACATCCAAGGGTTTGAAAGTGACTCATTAGTCTCATTAGTTGTTCAACGTGTTGAGAATAGTTAGAACTTTTCTTATTTCCCAAAAATTTTGAACAAGCCAAACAAACTCATTCCATGCATTTTTCTCAATTTCTGTCATATTGTCCGTAAATTTTGTGTCTTTTATTAATGATCTTATCTGTGGCCCATCTAAAATGCCCGCTTTTATCTTTTCTACACTCAGTTTAGGGAATTTTTTTGATAGAAATAGAAAACAATTTCCAGTTTTGTTAAGACCTTTGACAACCTGTTTTATAAGCCCTAATTTTATATGCAACGGAGGCAAAATTATACAATCTCTTGACACTAAAGGTGGGTTTATCACGTTTTGTTGTCCTGGAACTAGATTTTTCCGAGTAGGCCAATCCTTTTTAACCCAATGTTGAGTTTTAGTTCTACTATCCCACAAGCCAAGAAAACAAGGATACTTTGTGTAACCAATCTTGCTGGCCTAAAAGAAAGTTGACCATTTTTAAATCAACACATATGATCCAGTTATTTTTCACATTTTTAATTTGGTCTTTTAGACGATGCCATTTCAAATTACAAAATAAAACAATTCAAACAAGGAAGTTAATTTCAGTATTCTCTTACTAAACCTTCCCCTAAAATAACAAAAGATCATTTCTTAAGAGTTCTGAAATTGGGTTTTTACCGGTCATTAAAGAGAGATACTTTTACCTTTATAAGTATGTGAACCTATAGGGGTTTTCCGCGGTCGTATAACAGAGGGGTCGTTAAAGAGGATTATAAATTAATGGAATTTCCAAATAAAATTAAATATGTATAATAATTCAATAATTATTATTAAATAAACTATAAATAAACACTATAAGGCCCGATTGTACAATGCGAGTTGAACCTCGGTTTAGCATGAACCTGGTTCTTGGCGTTGTACAATACTTGTTCAGAACATAACCTGCGTTCATCTATAGGTTCAACAAAGCGGTCATGTTTCCGCGCTTAAACCGAATTCAGACCTATTTTTGAATTTAGTTAGTTGGTAACACACTTCAAAAAAATATTTTTTGGGTTGGTACCTTA